CTCTCTCTCTCTCTCTCTCTCTCTCTCTCTCTCTCTCTCTCTCTCGGCCGGGACTCTCGCTGCCAATCGCCGCGTATCGCGGTGATCAAGCCGCGAGAGCAAAGTAGCTGCTGAGCTACTCGAGACCGAGCCGAGTGATATCTGTTGCGCCGCGACGACGCGTCTATTTTTGTCGGCGGCGTCGCGGGGCGTCGTTAGCGGCGGCGGCGGCAGCAGCAGCAGCGGCGACGTCGGTGGCGTCGTTGTTAGTCGTCGATGAGACGACACGGGGCTGCGGAGGAAAGAGGGAGCGCCGGCGTCACGGGGGCGCCGCGACGCGCAACAAGTAGTCTCATTCCTCCCGCCCGACCCCTCTTTATAAATTTTCCCTCTCGCCAGTCCACTCCTCCCTTCTATTCTTGCCCTCCCTGCCCGACGCTTCCTGGCGGCGCGGGGCGGCGAGGGGTTGCCGCGGCCGCGCACAGCCGGCGTCGCGACGCCACCGCCGTCTGCTCGATTTAACCTGCGCCTGCAATCCGCGTCAATACGCTCCGAGTGGTAGTCACGAGGCTGCGCTCGTGACAATACGCACGCGACGCCGCCGCCACTGCCGCATTATTTCGCAACGAGTGCGATGGATTCTTCGCACTCGACCGATCAACAAAAGTTCGCAAGATCCTGTCAGATCCGAGGTCGCTCGTAAATAGTTGAATTTGAACAATTACCACCCTGACCATAATAAGACCATATAAGAGAGAAAGAGAAATATATCAAAGTGTGAAGTCTGGGGCTAACTTAGTTGGTAGAGCACTCGTTCGGGGTGAGCGGAGAATCGCGGGTTCGATTCCCCCCGGGCCGGCAAACTTTTGCCCTGGTATTTTTCTCTCTGACTTTTACAAGATGTCACTCAGCCGGATAAAGAGGGGTCGCTCGCCGATGAGGCGCACTCAGACACGTTGAATTATTATTGTTTTAAAGCTTTATTTATTCAGCGTTCTGGACGCTATCTCCTCGAGCGCAAATCACAAGTACACATAAAATTATAAGAGAAAAATAGTTTTATGAAACATATCATAATTTTCTTTGTCTCTCCCTTGTTAATGAAGGTTATTATTAATATTTCCAAAGGAAATTTTTATGCTTGGAAGAAAAGCCAAAACAAATCTGCGGCAAAATCGAAAAAAGGAACCGGTCTTACTTCAAAACTTTAGTAGATCGACGTAATATAACGTAGCGACTTAACAGTAGCGATCGACGAAATTTCTTAAGGTCCGCCTACAATGGAATTGACAGTAGACAGTAAAACGTAAGCAGTACACAAATTGACCAACCATAGTCGATTATTACAAGAACAATCGAACTCTGGTTGATCAATTCGCCTTACTACCTAGTGCCAATTCTACTGTAGATGGCACTTTATATCACCGTTGAACCGCTCGCGTTAATTA